TATATTTTGTAAATGTGTAATTGTAGTTTATTAGAAATACTAATTTACAGATTATTAAAACAGGTTCAATAAGGTACCATTTATTATCAATTTTAATTGTTCTATTCTAATAGTGTTTAAACATAAACAGAATGTGTACAACAACAAAAAATGTACTTCATACAGTGACCAGTCATATATAGATGAATTCTTTTCTCTAATTATATAATCTCAAGTGAAATAATATATGAAATATACGGTAATATTTGGTAGTTTACATTTGAGATTTTAGTTAGTAAAAATGTATAACTCGAATACATTTGATCTTATTCTAAGTAATAACGACCTTTGAATTTGTTAATTACTATCAACAACACATACGGAATATTTCAAACTACAGTCTTGTAGGTATCATTACCAAGGTTTGATTTGATCATTTCGAATAAATTGAGCACTGTCTAAATTGTTATAAATAAATAAATAATATATTTGTAATATCGCAATGAGTTGAAAAATTAGATTTTCTGACTTTTCGTGACTCAGTGTAAGCCACTTCTTCAGAGAATAAATAACCAAATTAAAATCCAAGTTTAAATAGTACAACAGAACGTCAGAATATCTAATTTTTCTACTCATTGGGATATTACAAATATATTATTTATTTAAAACTATGGTCTTGTTTTGTTTAACATGTTAATGTTTATTTTCAAATGAATTTTAAGAAACTGAAAGCTTTAACCATATGATAATATTAATCAGTGATTGAAGACGTTGGATGACATGCCTTGGGATCGGTTACAATGCACCAAATGTAATCACTCTTTATCTCTTTTTAAATCTAGATAATGTTATCACTTGTTTTCTGGGTAACATCTTAATAATTTTATCTCTTTGTAATAATGTGGCATGACAACTTGAACCGATACACATATATGTATTTACGATTAATTGGTCACTGGGTAGTGATCAATGTCAAGTGTGTTAGGTCCTCCCTAGTACAGATTGAATTTTATCGACCAAGTCGTAATGTGGCCACTAGTCTAGGTGAATGGGCATCTCGTGCACCACTTCATCTCAACACGTCTATGTCGTTGCTCATGGCTTATTAAGATTATTAGCTACAGTATTTTTCCATACATACAGTTTCAAAATTTAACCTTTCTCATTATTACTATTACCACAATTATTTTGTCTTCATTGACATTAACATCTTTAATTCTATTTCATTGTGTTTATGGAATATCATAAGTTGAACTAAAGTACATTTGTCCCAGACTCTATGTCAATTCTTACTCATTGATAATTTCGCTCAAATATCTTAAACCTTGATCATGATTTCCACAGATCTTATAAGTAATATACGTTCATAATTTTTAATTGTATTATTTTATTCCTTGTTAATAAGGATTGAAATTTAAACTACCTTCAACAATCATCACGAAATATTCTAAGGAACAAAAAGTAGAAATTCATTTATATGTATTTTTATTTATACGATAAGATTTTCAAAACTTATGCAATATACTACTCACCTTATTTATTTGTAAATAAAATTATATACTTCAAAATATCATCATTCAGCTTTAAATAATTTATTTAAAATGATTATTTTTTATATCAGAATCATCATGTGCTCACTAGTGATTAGCTTCAAGAGGTATTTCCTGGAATTCAGGTGGGAAGCAATGACTAGTAGTGTTCAACCATGTCCGTTATGAAATAGTAACTCACTGAATACAATAGTGGACGGTAGCACAATTTCGTGGGTTGGTTGAAGGTAAACATTAACACCGTTGGATGCCGGCTCAGTTGTCTAAAGGTTAAATGTTCGTTCGACTTACCGATAGGCCGTTTAGTGCTCCCAGTTTTTCCATGATGGTCTAGCTTTAATTGATTCATGATTTCAACAATTAAATTAATAAAACTCTCCACAAAACCCCCTTCTGATATTTATATTATAATGACTTGTATTTAATAACCAATCATACTTCGAAAAAAGTAAACACATAAAACTTTAAGAATCAGTAAACAATCATCCAAGAAAAATGGAAAAGGTTCCATAAATATTTGTTATCCTTGATATTATTGCTAAACAATTTAATATCAATTTTCTTTAGAAAGGGATACAGATCTCATGATGAAAATAAAAAACCTAACAAATATTCATTGAAAATGATTAACTAACGGAAAATCAATCAAATAGATCTATATTACCGTTGTACTATTTTACATAAATCTAAGAAAAATATCACTTAACATTATAAATAATAATGATAGTTTTGTATTAGAAAGATAAACATAAGAAATTGAATATAACAAACAGACTGTGGTAAACAAGGGAGTTCAAGATGTGTATCTCGGCCCATTTGGGACTGGTCAGTCGAGTGGATGTACATCTCATTGTTAATGTTCACACTATGACTTGAATTCAGTACCTTGTAATTCAAAATACAAGTAATTATTTTTCGATTTTCCTTGGGCTCTTATAGTTAAAATATATCCATCATTTAGATATAATCTATAGATTTAAAATCGTTAAGAAAGTAATCACTTGTCATAAACCAGGAGTAAATAAATCAATCTGAAACTAAATGGCAAAGATGACAGTGCCATATCGATTAGTTGTATGCACTCTAATAGAAATTACCAAAATATTCTCCATTTAAAATAAAATCGAAGTCAAAAAGAGATTGGACAAATATCATGCATATTGGGTAGTATCACGCTTAATAAGTGAGATTAATGCTTGTGTTTATGACCGTATTAATTACCAAGATGATGAAGTGGGAACAAAAGCAGACACATTGAAAAAATAGTGTTGTTTGATCGAGATTGTTCTTGGTTGTCTGAGGTATCCATTTGAAAAGACGGAAAATCATTCTGAACAATAATCAGTATTATATCTAAAAGCATTATGCCTACTACGAAACTGGAAATTTCCGCATTTGATTCTGTATCGAATGATGATGGTGCACCTTTAAGAGGCGTAAAACTAGTGCGAAATAGCTACTAAGTTATTCCTGATTTTAAACAATTCTATGAGTGACATAACTACGTGATGAAAATTAAACTAGAAATATATTATTTAACACTGGAAATAATTTAACTTATCTAGTAAAGAATAAAACAGAAATTCGAGTGGTGTTATTCTCATTGGGAGAGTCAGTTAGTTAGTTGTCAACGTAGATCCAGGGACTAGTGTTATAGTTACAGGTAAACAAGTAATTTTATGAATCGTAATTTTGGAAATCCTTTATACGATATAATCAGTAAGAAAACCTAAAAATGTTTACAAATACGAACCAGATAGTTAGTTATTGAGAATCTAGGACGCGGCATGATTATGTATCTGTCCAAGTTGCCACATGTGACATTAACATAGCAGCGAAATACTAGTTTGCTTATCAATTATAAGAGAAATCAAATATAAAATCAATGATCAGACTTTGTACCAAGTGTTTATTTTTTCAAATGTTTGAAGTTGATGGGTGACATGCTATAAAAATACAAACAATAATAGCAATATAGAAAAAATATATATGTATATATCAAGATGCATGTAAGAACATAAATCGAGAATTCAGTTGACCTTTGAACAATATTTTCGTCTTTAATAGAAAAATTGAATAAAAGTAACGTTTTGAGCTTTTGAATTTCATTGATTTTTCGGTTTGATATTACTAAGGGCACAATAAATTTTAGCGAACTATGCTTACTATCTGTCTACTTTGCTAGATAGTGAATTCATTGTACCGATATTTCAGAAATTACTATTGTGTAAAATGGTGATCAATATTTTCCTGAAGTGTTATTTTGAAGTATATTAGAATGATAATGAAATGTAGTGTATCCTTTAAAAATTTCGTACTAAAATAACTGAGCTTATTTATAACCAAATGTCAGCTTTCTGACATATAAACCCTTTATAAAACTGGGTCGATTGTTTTAAATTCATCAACATTCCTTAGACTCAAAACCTGTTCGATCCACTTCCGCTTAAACAGTCGGATAGTAACACGAAAATTTAAACAAAAGCAGAGTATATTTAAATCTGTACTTGAAAAATGCGTCATATTAAAAATTAGTTATTTGTAAAATTTATTTTGAAGAAATGATATACATTCAGTTACAAGACGTTAGTAATACAATTTTCTAATCATTAGGATACTACTATATATATATATATATATATATATATATATATATATATATATATATATATATATATATATATATATATATATATATAATCTTTTAAACATATTATTAGGTATTGAAATCAAATCTATGTTAACTGAACAGAAATTGTATACTTTATGGAAGGCAAATGAAGCGTAGAATAAGAGTGAAATTTAATTAGTTTTTCATCAACTCCTGGATTACGGCTAATCAGTATACAAAAAATATATTAATTCAGCAATAGATTAATTAAATTGTTTATACAAGCTGAAGGGACTTTTCTTTTCACATGTTCATATTCAACACATTCAAGATTGTGATGTGTGAACAAACAAACAAACAAACAAACAAAAATAAGATAACGAAATCACATATTTCTAAGTTAACAACAACATTAACATTTGGATCGTAAAACAACAGTATGGTAAGCTTTCAGGCATTGACACTTCATACAAACTAATAAATTGATAAAATTAGAGTAAGTAGAAAAACTGAAGTTGTTTTTCTACAAACAACTAATTTCATAAAGAGAGAAAAAAAAGAAGTTATTTAATTCATTCTAAATCTTCTTCATCAGTTACTACTTACCAGGATGTAAAATTAATGATAAAAAATAATTAATTAAATGATAAATAATCAATATCAAAGTAAAATTGAATAAAATGGACTCATTGGATTGTTTGAAATCAAAAGAATATACGTTAATAATAATAATAATAATAATAATAATAATAATAATAATAATAATAATACAAGTTTAGCTTATTACACTATACAACACAATAAAAATTATATTTTTTTACTGTTTAAAACAATATAACTTTTATAATATTCAGTACTAGATTTAATTGACTAAAAGATTTTGTTTCTTTTCTATGAACTATGCATCACATGTATAGTATATCATTATCACCAGATTAAACAAGGAATAAATCGGATTACATACATAGGAAAAGAAAGAAGGAAATTCACAATAGAGAAAAATGTGGAATAATCGAGAAAAAGAAAATGAATGATGGCGAATACTTTCTTCCACGGAGATCATTTCTAGATTTCTCCTCATCATTAGAATAAGAAATATTATGTTTACACATATACATTAATGAGATAGATAAGAGAAGGCAAATAAGGTGAAAATGAGAAGGGGGTATTTGACAACTGGATATAAAAATTTGGTAATCTTTTAGGTGTTCTTTTTTCAACTATCGATGATCATCTTTTTCTTTACAAATCTATGTATATATCATTATGTAATATGGTCGTTGTTGTTATTTTGATTCTTATCACAATATTTATGAATTCAATCCATTGCATATGAGACAATTGCCATTGAAGTTAAACCAAAAAACATAAGAGTTAAATGAATAATTGATTCCCTAAAAATAACAGAAGGTATAATTAATGAATCATATACATAATTAGAAAGCTATTTATATAATAATTTAACTATTGAGAGTTTGTAAAAGTATTAGTGCAATAAAGCATTAAGCTAAGAAATATCAAAAAATTACTTAGTTACGTTTCTAAGAAAGAATATATACAAATTGGTTTACTTAGTGATTAAAGAAGGTTTGATTATAACTGTTTTATTCCAGTTCCTTTAATTATAGAATCAGTTATGAAAAGGATGAATAACAACTGGAAAGGATTGCCCAGGACAGGGTTGGATGGAGAACGTTGGTGAGCAGCATATGCTCCTTCACGAGGACTAACAGGCGTAAGTCAGTAATAAGCTAAACTTTTTTGAGTTTTATTTTAGTCAGAAAATGTTTTGTGAAGATTTTAGTAAATTTATAGTTGAATTCATGAGTCAATTGAAGCTAGACAACCATGGAAGACCTGAAAGCACTGGAAAGCCATTTATTTCTAGATTAAACCGGGGTTGTTTAAACATAGAAAAAGGCTGATATATTAAATAATAAAGTTTAGCATTTTTACATATCACAACTTTTTATTAGATGAGTGTACAATCTAACTTATAAACCAATGAATAATTATGAAGATATAATTTTTGATTAGTACATTAACAATTTCTAAAACAGTATGAAAAGTTTTAATAAGCCTAACTTAGAAAAATCTCATTGGGCATATTATTAACATTACTTGAAATTATTTTGAAATTATAAAGTTTCTACAACTTACTTAAATGATAATTCTTTCAAAATATCAGGTAGAAGAGAGACCAATGCAATGTATAGAAAGCCACCGGCAGTAAATGGAAGTATCCATTTCGTTGTACAACCTGTAAAGTTGAAGAAAATTACATTATGGAAAATTTTAAATAAATAAATAGACTATGAAGTATAAGCAGATAATGATAATATTGATTAGTGTATTATTAGATGACAGATCAGATTGCTGTCAAAAACAGTTGGTTTATTTTATATAGCCAATATGTTGGATCACAGACAAGAACTTAACAACTGTGTTTCAACGCTTTCCATCAGTATCACTAAAATACAGTACATATGTAATACATCGGAAAAGTACAAATTATGATAGAAATACGGGGGAAATTAAGAGCCTTTCCTGAACATTTGAATTATTTTTTTCAGTTATCAAATGTAGGTAATGTTTATAGATTTAAGTATTTATAATAAGCTTAATGATGTATATAAAATTAATTTGAGTTCAATGGAAGAAGTATAAAAAGTAGCTCACCAATTAATACACTGCTTAGTATTGGGTGTCCAGATAGAAACCCAGTTCACACAAATATTTATGATCATCAAAAATAAGGAAACCTAGATGCTATGACACTTCTAAAAATTATACATTGAAATCTGTTGTATTTAGGATGATTTAGTTACTTAATACAAATTAGGTTATCATATTTTATTTTAAATGTTGAAATACTTCAAAAAACTAATAAACTAAGCACTTTGTGGTGCTTCAATATTATATATTAGAGTGACGTTCATTTAGTTAGCAAAAGTAACAATATCACACTTATATAAATGTATAAAAAGCAAGCCGAGATCGGGTAACGACGCGTCAGTTAGTTGACTTGTTTAAAAAATCTAAAACGTGTTATAATGAAAGTGACTTTTCAACCTTAAGTTTCTGGAAAATTTCATCAAAATACGAAATGACAAATAAGCGAATTAGACAGCACTTATTCTGCTTAATGTCAGTACTAGGATTGGTTGATCGAATTACGACAAGATTAACAATATCCGGAACCTGTGGGCATCTTTGAATAACCCGTCGTTGAAAACAGTTGTCTAAGTAATTGTGATAGTATGACTAGTGAAATAAAATCCTTCATACTATAAATCAGAGCGAGTTGTGTTAATCTGTATTATTATCGCAATGTTAGTTTGGTTAGAAAGATTCAATGCAGGAAGTTCTTCTAGGTGAATGTGAAATCTATTCTCCAAAATGAAAATGTTCAAATGTAGTTGTCTCATGAGAGATGGTCGAATATGAACAACACGTCGGGTGAATAGTTCTAAGGTACAACAACAACAACAACAACAAGAAGAAGAAGTGTTCCAGCTTATCGGGATCAATATTTAACCGTTGAAATTAGTTTAAAACACTGGTTTCGGTGATTTGAGAACGTTTTACGTACAACATTTATATGATCACGATAGACAGTGTTGTTTATTACATCAGGCTGAGTGAAAAAGTCAAAGTGAAGTCATATAATGAGATGGCGCAGGAGAAAGCTAGATTTTTCCATCAAATTGGCATCATCTAACCAATTATGACCTACTACATTCGATCACAGAGACCATGCAACTAATTTCTTTGAGTTGACTGCAGTTATGTTTCGAAATCAAAATCAATGGTGAACCTGTGGAAGCTTTCTTTCCTAGTTTACTTAAACAATAAAATATACCTTCCGATAAATAAAATATATCTTTAGCAATCCTAAACATCAATGGAAAGATCCAAACACCGAATAAAAGAATGAATTAAAATATACCTTAGTTATTTATTTCATTGAACTATAATAATTTATATAAATATTCATAATTCGTCATTACTTTTTGCACAAGGATATTTACTTAAATTGTGTGTAGGAGTTTTAGGTACCTCATAATTATTATATTTTGAACATAGGCACTCTTTGTGCCAGGTTTTACTTTAGTATGTCCACGTGTCACTCTATCAAGTTTTCAGGATAAAAATACAGAATTTATGGTATTCGTCATACTTTGAACGAATAGCTCGATAATTCCCTGAAGAATTTCAAACAAGTTTTCTTTACGAAATGTCGAACTTATTTAGACTTCAGTTGTTGATATTATTTTAAATACAATTTTCACAAATAATCGAATTTACAATTTATTTGTATCGGTTATTTGAATAATCCCATTGATGTTATGAACTGCAATAGATCGGTCTCATTTGGGATATTTGCATCATCTGCGGATTGCCTCGAAATTGTCATTAACTATGATCAAGACTGATCAACTGAAGTTCATAACACTAATGAGAAGATTCAAACAACCAATACTGATTAAATTAAATTTATTAATCGTTCTACAAACCAGTGGCTATCTAGACTCGGTAGCTAAATGCATAAGACGTTGTTCGCTGGAAGCCAAAGATAATGGATTCGAGTCTCAGTATGAACACCAATACTGGAACTTAATAAGTATCTAGAGCTGACGAACCCACAATAAGACGAAACATGCGTTTTGAATATCATTGTTAGCCAACATCCAACTCTGCTGAAAAAACCGTACTTATAACAAACAGTTAAATTTACATAATATAATACTATATTTCTATCTTACATAATGCAAATCTAAACATTAAATACAACAGTTTATTTAACATACTCAAGTATCATTAAGCTAATCATAATTTAAATAAAATGATTGTAGCCAACGATCTAAAAAGGGTACTTAATTTTGGTTGTTATTTATCATAAATTATTATCATTATTATTGTTACTGGTATATATGTATGTATATAATAGTGTATAGAATATGGCCTTCACATATATTATGGATTATTTTATTCATGTATATAATATGATAACAATAATCAAGTCTAGCATTATTATTAACAATAACAATCATAGAAACTGGGTATTTAGTTAATTAATCATAAAAACCTATTGTTTACAATAGACTTGGAATTGAGAAATTTCAAATAAAACTTATATCAGATTCATTCAATTCGAATAGACATTAATTTTCTGTAAACTTTACATAAATATTCATTAAACAAATGAATTTACTGTACATATAGATGCATATCATAAGGTAGTTTTCCAATGTAATTTATATAGAAAGTTTTCCTAGTTGTCCAGAATCGATTAATAGAAAGGGGGAATTATTAAGAACAATTGATTTAATTTATATTGTATTACATTTTTTGATCTTAAGTTGATGAACAATGTTAGTAGGAAGTTTTTGATGAATTGTAATTTTTGAACGAAATAGTACAATCGTGAAGCTCTCACATTTTCTTTACTTTATAATGTTATCAACATAAACATATTTTTTTAAATTGATACTTTTTAATAAGACAATGAAGACTTTTACAATTGAACTATCAAGCTTAGTAAATGTAATGACACTGAAATGTCTTGATTTTTAGAATTCGGATGGTACTAGTTGTTAGGTCCCGATAAGCATAATGAATGGTAACTTTGGGATCCATTTATGGACCAGTACTAAACGTATATTTTTATCGTATGATCATTAAATAACTAAACTAGTCATATTCCTCTTATTATAAGCTTTATTTTGACCTATGAACCATTTTTATACGTTTTACCATTTTTGAATTATGCCCTGTCTATTAGTCACTGCCTCCCACATTCACAGCCACATTTGGCCAAATTTTGTACAAATGTTATTTTCTTTTTCATGGTACGTTGAGGTCTCTTTGATTGTTATATAAACCGAGTATGTTTGGAATATATGATTCATATTGCAGAGGCTGAGACTGGCGTTCTGGACTTAACTGTCTGGGCTAGGTGGAAAGCAGGGTCAATCAGGACTCTAGGCTGCTCGTACGTGTTTTACTTGTTCTTGGTCCGATCGATAATTCACTGCTCCCTAATTGGCGGTATCACTACTTATCAATTGACAGGGCACACAGGCCACAAGTTATAACACTAGTTACTAAATTGTTAGCTGTAAAATATCATCATTTGGACACATATTCAACCATATGGGTTAGTTCTTTTAGATGTTTTGTAGTTCGTAAGATAGTAAGTTCAACCTATTAATGTAAAAATCAGTTATATTTGTCAGCTCTTCAGACTGGAATAGGAGAGAAAGGCCTGAATTGTAATCTAATGGATAAAATCCAAACACATAGACTACTAATTAATAATGTATCATGAATTAAAATTCTAAAATATATGATTCGTAAAATGTGATTGTATTAAAAAGTGAAATATTTACTGAGTATTTAGAAGCAGATTACCAAACAATTGGCAGTAAATTATTAATTAGTCATTATAAAACTATTAAATAGTCCCAACTAAAAGATAATGAAAGTTGAAGAAGAGAGTACTTCATCAATACGATGATTCTTTATGTAGACTAAAAATAGAAATTATATTAGCTTCCCTATGTTATCATTCATTTATTTTCTCAGTGAGTTAGAATTACAAACAAGTAAGCTCAACGAAATCCTGAAAAACAAAATATTCAGAATGTCGGAAAGCGAAAGTCATAAAAAACGTTGGTGATCAGAATCTGTTGATTTCATCAATTTAATGAATTTTTCGTAGAGCAGTTATTGAATAAATAAAGTATAAAAGCATCATAAATTGTAAATGGTATGGAGAAATTACAAATTACTTCTAAACTATCTCTGGGAGTTAAGAAAAGTTTAAAATAATTGGAATTTAATGAATCATTCTGGTTGCATTAATACTTACCGGTTACTGAGGCATTAGCACAAAGTGTTAGAATGGCACCTAAAGTAGATCCAGATGCTGTAGCTAACTGAAACAAAAAACGTTAGTTTATAAAGTATTTATTAGCAAGTTAATTGTTTTTAAGAATAAACTAATAAAACTAAATAATGATTTATATGTTCTTGCACTCAAATCTTGAAACACTTTGTGTGGAAGAACTGAAGAAACTAACGGCTACCTATAATAAACTAAGTGTAGTTCAAATATGCGACACAATTGTGTAAACGCCTTAAGCCAATGAGCCACAGATACATTTTCTTTAAGAAAGAAATAATGATAGGAATTATTTATTGAAGGACTAAAATAGCCCTTCACACTTAATTTGGTTAAGTGACTAGCAGTATTGATCTGACATACACAATCCTGTAAATACCAATAAACACTTAAATTGACGTTATAAGCAAAGATTGATAGTGGCTGGCAGTGGAATCCAGGACGCGCGTTTCGTCCTACTTGGGACTCGTCAGCTGGATGTACCTGCATATCAGAGTTGATGTTCACTCTGGGACTCGAACCCAGTACCGTCCGCTTCAAATGCCATCGCGTTATACACTTAGCTACTGAGTCCTGATAGCCACTTGCTTGTGCAATGAGATGAAGTTTAATTGCCTCTATATTGCCTTAAATTACAAGCATTATAAGCAAAGATCGAGGCAATACGCACAGTATGCACATATACCAATAAGAGACTGATCAATTGCAGTCCTAAACATCAATGGGAAGATTCAAGTAAAACAATATCAAGTGAATTACTTAAATCGACGATTTACAATTATCGCAAGTATTACTTCAGATTAATTAGGTCTGCATTTTTGAGTTAAATCATATATTACAATTTAAAGCCATAGAAGTAACTGATTTAGTATCTCCGGAAAAATTCTAAAAGGCCACTTTTATTTGGAGCTGGCGCTGGCTACGGTATATGAAATGATTATGAGAACCTTAGACTTAAAATATCTAACTTGAATAAGGTAATACAAATATTTTTGGTATACTAAACGACCATTTTCCTCGCTGTGCTATGCTGTTTAAAAACTGGCATAAACATCTGAATGGTCAAATCTACTAATTGCATCAGTCAATTTAGTTTAACTCTATGTATGATGACATTTTAATCATGTGTAATGACAGAGATCATGTTGGTCAGTTAACTGAGTACCTTAGTTTAATTCATCCAGATTTAAAACTCACCAGTTGGCATGAAATTTAAAACAGCATAAATTTCTTGAAATTAAAGATAACGAGAAAAGTAGAGGGTTCACAGTTTTACATTTTGTTTAACTGGAGGTGTCAATACGTGGGTTAAGACAACATTTGCCTAGTATCATATTAAAAAACACACTTCATTGTTTGAAAACTATAGAAAACAAAATTGCAACAAGATCCCCATTGAATTTGGCTGGAAACATAACTGGAGACATCTTAAAGCAATTAGCCGCATGATGTCTTTGACCAAATGTAATAGATCATAACTGGTCAGATGATATTACTTTGATGGTAAAATCTAGCTTTATCTTTCACCATCTTATCATTTGATTACTCTTTGTTTTTCTTACTCGCTCCTTAGGTTAGAAAACAGTGTTGGGCAAGGTAACTACAAATAGACCATCCGCATAATGATTTCGAGTTAACTGTAGTTACCTTTTAGTAATCCTGGAGTACAGCACAGAAGTAATAAAATTGAAATTAAAATCTTTAAATGCATTCCTGAATGTTAATGATTGAAAGTGTGTCTTGAATTTATTCCAAAAGGTAAGCTATAACCAAATTGGACAATGTTTACAAGTAGCCGAGGGTTGAATTAGTCTCTTATTCGTTTGATTGAAAACATACGTGGTCGCAATTCATAATAAATTTTATCCATCTAACATTATAAAGAACAATTTTGACAGGTTTTACAACTACATATTGCATACATTAAAATTTTGTAATAGCGATTCTGTTGGTTTTACTCAAATATTTTGATCTGATATTGGACAACTGTAAACCTGTTGGTTACGCAGTGTAAGGATATTTGGAATATAATATCAATAGAGTGCAACTTTGAGGTGTTCACGTAAAATAACTAGTTATTAAAATTTTGTGAAATCATAAGATTCTCACTCAGTTTCTACAACGCATGTCAATTACTCTTTTGCATTTATTGTAAGAGCCCAATAAGTTTCCACTCCAATTTCGTTATTCATTTTCTTTTGTAAGTAATATTATCTACTTCACCGTTTAAAAAAGTTAAGACTAGAACTAATGCTTTGTTTTGTAGTGAGTACGTGTAGATTCGTTGGTCAATAACGAATTTAGTGACAAACAGAAGCCAATTGGAATACCTGGTAATTAACTCGAATGAAGAACCATAAGAAATTTGTGTTTTAACGATACTATAAAAGTTGGCGAAAATTTTGACTTACTTGAGCTTTAGCAGCTTCCCACCGACTGAACCCACTTCGGAGTAAAATTACAAAATCAGCCATTTCATGAGGAACTTCATGGACTAAGATGCAGGTAGTCGTCAAGATCCCTAACTGAGATAGTCAGAATATAATATGGTCATTTATCTGAACTGACGACATTTACTAAGTAAATATATACACATATGAATAAAAAATATTTCAGAAACTCTTATATATTAAAACGGAGAGTGAAATGATAGTAAGTTAAATATATATCAATTCATTTTTGCACTGGTTGTTTGAATCCAACTGTTCATCCAGCTGATGAGTCACAAGTACGATGAAACGTATGTTCCGGCCCCAAATGCCTTGGGATGGTCGAGGGTGGAGAAAGTCAGTTCTACCGTTCAAAATGTTCCCACACGACCACGTGTATACAAACACTGACAGGGAAGTCCTACTCACTGTCTTCACACCGCCTGGGTGTTTTTTTACGAAATTGAGAGAACGAAAAGAGAATGTCCGTCACTCTAACCAAGTTGGTGGACACGGAGGGTCCATCTAGGGGAAGCATAAAACCCTAATTCCAAACCAATGATGAACATGGGCTCCCAAATTCTGAAGGAACAAATGGCGTATGAACCAATTATTAGTCACCGGCTACCATAGGACTCTATTTCCTAACGTTTTTCCACTGCCTTGTGAGTCAGACCTTTAGATCGAAGGCTCCGAGTGTGACCCGCCTAACATAGAGACCTGCTTCAGTCTGGGCAACCGGGCAGGACCACAGCCCACACACATCGAATGAAATGACAATTACTACTGGAGATACTATTCTTGCTTTAATTAAAATTCAGACAATTCACATCCATTTTTTATATACTACGTCACTTATGTACTCTCTTCTACTCTCACTTTGTGTATTCTTATTTTATCAACTTATACAGCAGATTGCCTATGGTGGGAACCCTATCCTATCTAGACGATCTCGAGGTACTGATTGGTAAAAAGTTGAAAGCTACCAATGAGTACGAATACTGAAATTCTTTCTGAAACGAGGTATACCATTCAAAATGGCTTTCTTCAACGTTCGCACATCATTGCAGATGGAACAACAGATAGGGTTAGCTGTCTTTAGAAAGTCTTAATATCGACGTCTGTTGTCTATTCGAGACCCCTATTCAAAACTCTAGTAAAGTACTACAAATTTGCTCTCCATCTGTAGCCTTGAAAGGCTCGTTTCACGTGCGTTTATCCGGGGACCTTTGGTATATTTGTCTGGTTTTGTTGGCGTTGGTGTTGTACTAAGTAATGATCGAATAGATCACAATTAACAGTTAGCTATATGATGTTAGATTAAAAAGTTCCATCAAAGTGCGAGATCGGTGAGAAACGCGACCAGCTACTGCTGGCGTGGTTGTATACGGAACTGCAGCTCCTTTTGGAGTACCTATTTGAAAACTGATTATCCTCTCGTTTTTGCGAGTCTCACCTTACGTTTCAGTGGCTAAAAAATTCATCATCCTAAACGGATCGATGTAAATAAATTGGTTCTGTTGCAACTAAATATCAAACTGAGCTAGGTTCAAGGCTCGCTACCATCCCATAGAAAAGTATAAGTGAGCATTGGTTTCAATTGTATAACGCCATTAAAATGGCAAGAAAAGTCGCTTACGACTTCATGAAACATCCCGCTTATAAGCACAGGCTCCTTACAACCCATCGGAGCCCATGGGTGACCTCCAGTTTGACTATAAACGAGAACCATATAGTAAATAGTTAATTTGCAAAATATCAAACAATCGTCTCAAATTTGACTGTTCCTTTGTAAATATCAGTCCACTGTCTCAGATTTCATTGTTCATGCATTAACATACCGATTGCGTTCCGTTTCCGCTCTTTCCTTATAGGTCTTCTGTTGAAATGCATTCTATGTTTGACCACCGTTATATACTACTTATACGGATATAAGTAAACCACACCACACCTATCTTTAAAAAGGGTTCACGTCGTTTCTGTGACAATTGTCGAGGGACATAAGTTTAGGTCCGACTGCGTCCAAACTATTGGCTTCGTTATGCTTCGTAGATTGTTGAAAACCTGAGAAAAATTGGCTGACGAAAAGTGCTATACTTTCGCTCTTACGGTTATAACCCAGCTATTCCTATTGTTTAGTATTCACGGACACAGATTCACTCGACAAGGCCCCAAATCGGAACACGATTGAGCAGGAAGGAGATTATATTCCAAATAACAAGGTTAGGTGGAAGCAAGAAACAAAATAGGAAAACCGTTAGTATATTTATAGCTTTTTGCATAAGAAGAATCTAGAAGCTTCTCCATGTATCGACTAGCGCTGATTGGATAAGAATCAGCCAATCAGCGTGCGCCAAAGCAATCGTGCATTGAGCATGCTTAAATCCAATCTATGTCCCACTAACACCTCCCCTTTGAGCAGATTCGTAGGATCTGGTGCTAGGGTCCAACTACAACCGAGTGACTGGTCTGTGCTTTCGATTTGTCCATCGTTTTTGTGCCCCATGATGTCGATTGAACTGATTCTCCATAGATAGGTTTCGTTGAGGCTCAAGAGCTGGCGTAGGATGAATGACATCGAAATGTGTTCGTATTTTTCTGCCAAGTAGAGCTTCTGCTTGAGAGACCCCCTTAATCGTCTGGGGGTTCGGTGTAGAGCGATAAATAAGCAGGAACCTCTCTAAGATCTCTTCGGTGGTCCCCTCCCCTTTAGATTTTTTTAGAGCATTTTTAAATGTACTCACAAAGCGTTCCACTTGACCATTTGATTGGGGATGGAATGGAAGTGTTCGGAAGTGATGGATTCCGTTCTGCCGACAAAATTATGAGAAAATTACGGACGTAAGCTGTGTTCCGTTGTCACTAACTATCAATTCCGGGACTCCGAAACGACTGAATAGTTGACGTAGCTTACTGACTGTGCAGCTTGCAGTCGGGTGTTCCATGAGAAAGATTTCTGGCCACTTGCTATATGCATCAACTACCAAAAGGTAAGTTTGTCCATGAAGTGGACCAGCAAAGTCCAAGTGTATACGCTGCCACGGTGACTGTGGTATTGGCCATGATTGCAGCTCTTCTTTTCGCGGTGCTTTCGTTGCTAATGCACATTTGGTACATGAACGGGATAGCTGCTCCAGTTGGGTGTCTAAATGCGGCCAGTATACATAACTTCGTGCTAATGCTTTCATGCGATTTATTCCAGGATGTCCTGCGTGCAACTGTTCAAGCACTGCTGGTTTTAGCTTCTTTGGGATTATGACACGTTCTGCAAACAGCAGGCAGTCGTCGATGATTGAGAGAGAGAGTCTACGCTGGTAAAACTGTTGAAGCTCTGTGGGACTGATCTTCGCGGGCCATCCTTCCAGGTGGAACTTTCTAACTTCTTGTAGAATGGGGTCTCGAAGAGTTTCTTCTCTGACTTCATCTGACGACACTGGAGTGTTTCGAATGGCATCTGCCACTATACTTCGTATTTCTGGGTCTACTGCTATGGAGGCAATGATTATATCCTCTGGTCCAGGATGCTGAACTCCAATTAATCGAGAGAGAGCGTCGGCTTGACCGATAGTATTTGTCGACTGATACTTGATATCGAAATCATAACTCAAAAGCATTGTTGCCCAGCGCTGTAGTCTATTAGCCGTATAGACAGGGATTCCTTTCTTAGAACCAAAGATTTCAATCAAAGGTTTGTGATCTGTCAGTAGAGTAAATGTACAACCATAGAGCATTTTATGAAATCTTTTGACAGCGAAAATGATCGCAAGAGCTTCCTTTTCAATTTGACTGTAGTTCCGCTCGGCTGGGGTAAGTGATCTAGCAGCATGGGCAATTGTCTTTTCTGATTTGTCCGGAAACACGTGAGATATCACTGCTCCAACTCCATGACTAGATGCATCAGATGCGACAACAATTTCCAAGCTGGGATCGAAGTGTGTCAAAAGAATCTTTGAGCTGAGCATTGATTTGACTCTGTCGAACGATGCTTGACATTCTGCTGACCACTGCCAAGATTTATCTTTTGATAGTAATTCATTCAGGGGACCTCTCACTCGATGCATTTCAGGCAAGAATGTACTATAATGACTGATTAACCCCAAGAAGGATCTTAATGAAGAGACATCAGTTGGTGCAGGCATCTTCTGAATGGCTTCGATGTTGGCAGGGTCTGGTCGGCGACCGTTCTTATCTAAGATAAAACCAAGGTATTTGATGGAATGCATAAAGAAGATACACTTTTCCTCACGTAGTTGGAAACCATATTCCAACACTCGGTTAAGGACTTGATGTAGTCGATCAGAAAGTTCATTGTCAGTTGAACCCATAACTATGATATCATCTAGATAAGCTGCTGTACAAGGTATACCTGTTAGCATCGTATCCATTATTTGCTGAAAGATGGCAGGTGCAGTCTTGATGCCAAATGGTAGACGGGTGTATTGAAATAACCCTCGATGAGTGTTAATGGTCAAAAGCTCTCTACTGTCTTCATCTACTTCTACTTGCAGATAGGCATCGGAAAAGTCTATTTTCGCGAAACATGTCCCACCATTAAGTTTGGCAAACAGGTCTTCAGGAACTGGTAACGGATATTGATACACATCTAATGCAGCATTTAAACCGGTCGAGAAATCGGCACATATGCGTATAGTTCCATTCGCCTTCTTAATCACTACGATCGGTGCGGCCCATGCAGAGTAGTTGACTGGTTGAATTACACCAGCCTGTTGCAAGCGATTAAGTTCCTGATCGACTAACTCAAGAGTAGCATATGGTACAGGACGTCTAGGACGAAAAATAGGTTTGGCATCTGGTTTCAGTGGTAAATGAGCTTTCATCTTGGTACAGTGGCCAAGGCTATTCTGAAAAACAGAGGCAAACTTTCTTTTCAGTTTTTCTAGTAACCTTTCACATGTCTTCTTTGCAAGTACTGGGGTGTCTAATGATGAACACAATACGTTGCAGACACTGTTAATCGGTACATCCATTATTCCAAGTTTATCTAACATATCTAGACCAAGAAGATCAAGGTTTGGCCGTTCTGT